CTTCTTTAGCTTTTGGCCAAATGACCTTTTCGCCGTGTCTGTTTCAAGGTCTTCCCGCAGAACGACAACGAATACTTGGGAAATAAATGGAAAAGAATTATTAATTCGATCATTCGGAAGGATACGAACGATTCTTTGGTGTAACAGGAAATGACAATTCTTTGAAGTGTTATGAAGGAAAAATATCACAAAATAACAACAAATAACAGTTCTTGAAAAAAAAAAGAAAAAAAAAGAAAACACAAATGCATTAAATTGTTCTTTGCGCCTTTCCATGAGACCAAAAAAAAAAAAAAAAATCTTGAACGGTAGTAAAACCATCATCCAAGAAAAAAAAAGAAAAAAAAAGAATAAAAGATAATAATTTAGTTAAAGCAGTAATCAGATCTTTAAAAAAAATGTCCTTTGAGATATCAGAAGTTCCCGTCAACAGGTGGCTTTCTAATTTTTCTTTAAAGTCCTCAAAGTTGCCGAGATTCGCACATGTGGAGGGAAATGTAATTTTCAAATCTTCCACGCAGCTGCGGCCAAGTCAATCCCTTCATCTTGGATAATGACTTAATATATGTGTGTGGGGAGTGGGTGTCTGTGTGTGTAGGGAGTGTGTGTATGTAGGTGTGTGTGTGGGGGGGGGGGGGGAGTGTGTGTGTGTGTGTGTGTGGTGTGTGTGTGTGTGTGTGTGTGTGTGTGTGTGTGTGTGTGTGTGTGTGTGTGTGTGTGTGTGTGTGTGTGTGTTTGGGGGGAGGAAGGTTGTGAGCGTGTGTACGTGTAAACGTGAGTGAGTGAGTTGTACAGCATATCCCGTGTTTTTGTGTGCGTATATATATGTATATATTCTTGATACGTATCTCTCTCTCTCTCTCTCTCTCTCTCTCTCTCACTCTCTCTCTCTCTCTCTCTCTCTCTCTCTCTCTCTCTCTCTCTCTCTCTCTCTCTCTCTCTCTCTCTCTCTCTCTCTCTCTCTCTCTCTCTCTCTCTCTCTCTCTTTAAATCTCTCTCTCTCTCTCCCTCTCTCTCTCTCTTTTAATCTCTCCCTCTTTTAATCTCTCTCTCTCTCTCTCTTTCTGTGTGTTTATGTGTGTGTGTGTGTGTGTGTGTTTGGGGGGAGGAAGGTTGTGAGCGTGTGTACGTGTAAACGTGAGTGAGTGAGTGAGTTGTACAGCATATCCCGTGTTTACGTGTGCGTATATATATGTATATATTCTAGATACGTATATCCCTTGTGCATGTACGAACACATGCACACATAAATAAGCATAGAGTGCGTATTCTCAGTAGTATTTACATCAAAATGTAAAAAAGAAAATGTAGACGAGAGTTACTCCTTCATTAAATAAAAACGAGTGCGGATTATGTAAGCAAATGCCAAGGCAATGGCTACCACTGGTTTGATACTAGACTCTCTATAGTTTGATAAGAATCTAAATGTCGTCTTTTTTGTTATCCTTTCTGTGGAGAGGAGAAATACGAGAGGCGGGAACAGGAAATAAGAGACAGTAAGGCAAGGCGAAGAGAAATAGAGAGAGAGAAAAAAAGAGAACATAGATTGGAGTAAAGAATAAAAAATGCAAAACAGAACAAGTATAGATATCGGTGAATGACCGTGATCTATGCATATGATAGATATTGAAGGTTGCAAAACCGACAGACTTATTGGCGGGGGATATGCACACATACACATATACATAACTTGTAGTGTTTGTAGCAGATGCGTATAAACATATGAAGATAAGTAAATACACACACACACACACACACACATACACACACACACACACACACACACACACGCACACACACACACACACACACACACACACACACACACACACACACACACACACACACACATACACACACACACACACACACACACACACACACACACACACACACACACACACACACACACACACATATATATATATATATATATATATATATATATATATATATATATATATATATATACATATATATATTTATTTGTGATCAGTATGTGCGTGATAATTTTTCCCCGAGTATTTTTCGACTGCCCTTTGTTTCTTCCATCGTTCCTCTTCCCAATGACCCACAAAACAGCTTAAATTCTGTGTCCAGGGCCCTTCTGAATTAATCCGAGACTAAATATTGAATTAGCATTTTGTGATATTGATTAATATGTGGCCTGGAACATGTACTTTTTGGAGCGAGGCATTCGATTGGGGTTTAACTCGTTCATTTTTGTATGTAGACTATTTTGCGATTGAGAAAACACCATTAGATATTTAGATATTCGTGTGCGTTTAAGTGCTAATGCGAATGTATGTGGTTTATTTTTTTTATTTTATAGAAAGAAAATTATTTGATACTTGAACGCTTCGGAGAGGATACACCACTTATTCGAATTCTATCGCCTTGACTTCCCTTTTTATCCGTCTCCGAAGAATACAACACAATTATTCATTACTTCCCACACAGATACCCATATAAAAAAAAACAAAAACAAAAAAAACAATACGTACATCATTCAAAAGTAATTCCCACCAACTCAAATCAACCCCTCAAAACACTCATCGAACAGACACCTCAGCCGAACGAAGCCTAAGCCACTAAGCCACGAGTCCGGACACCGACGTAAGGAACAGGAGACACACAGAAGAGGAGGTTGTCTGTCATTTTTCGTCGATTTTTCGTCATTTTTTCGTCATTTTTCTCGTTTATGGCGTCGGTCGTTGATTAATTCGTCCCCTCGGTGAATGGGTAGAAGAGAGAGGAGAGGAATCCGTGAGAAAAGCAAAGGTTAGAGGTGAAAGAAGAAGAGAAAAGAGAGAAGGAGATCATCATCATCAGCTGCCATCTGTCTGTCTGTCTGTCTGTCTTTCTCAGGTAAGTGTCACAGAAAGCAATTGCCCAAATAACGGGAATAAACGGACAAACCGATCTCTATGCCAGTAAGGAAAGTAACGGAGAATGAATTATTTTTCTTTAAAGTAAGAAAATTCACTCGCAAAGTTTTGGGGGAAATTCTCGTAGTATCGTGTCCAGAAAAAGGGGTTTTATTTTTCCCTTTTTTTCAAGTAAGTGTTTCGTGTGAGGATTCTTGCTTCATTTATGTCATTTAATCCATTTAGAACATTTTTTTTTAAGGAGATGTTACATTAATCAGGCGACACTTTACGTTTTTCTCTGTGAATATGAAAGGCTGATAGGTCTTCTAAATCCTAGTAAGAAAGGGTTATGTCTGTATGTCTGTCTGTCTGTTTATATACCTGTCATTATATCCATATATTTTCCTGCATTCTCATTGGTTATTATTTGAAACTATTAAGAGAGAGAGAGGGATATATCTCATCAGGAAAATAAGTCGACTCAAAAATTCAAGCACAACCCCATAGTAAGCAGAAGGGATTAAGCCTGTCGGAAGCAAAGAGAGAATGCGTGATGGGACGAAAGAGTCGAGCCCACAGAACAGGGAAAATTGGGGGAACGGTGCGACTTGCGCTCGTTAGAACCGCTGCTTTGATGAGGTTTAGTTTATGTAGGTCATATTAAGTATTCAAGTATCGAGTAGTGCGTTTACCTTCATTTTTGTTTGATTTGGTATTTTTATGTTGATTATTGATTTTTATTACGTGGGTGTGTTAGTGTCAGGGAGCTGATTAAAATTTTTACATGAGTTTTTCCCGAGTCTTGGCCAGGATAGAGTATGTATTCTGGCAAGAAATAGCTTATACTGGTTCCTTATTTGATGGTGAATGCCATTTAATTATATGTGTTTTACTAGCCTGAATATAAATGTCGGACATTTGTTGGTCAGTGGCTGGAGGTGGGCTCTGAGTTACTGTGGATACCCTTATTAATATCTAGTTGTGGTATTATCCTTCAATTATGCAGATTCATTTGAATAGCAATGGGTATCATTTTGTTCCCATTAAGAGGTAGTATTGCATATACTTCAATGTTTTCTTGTCATGCGATTCTGGATTGTCGAATTTGCATTTATTTATTTTTAATTTTTATTTTTATTTATTTATTTTTTTTGTCACTAAGAATAAACTACAGAATTTTAACCACAGACATGTACTCTAGGTCCTAGTGGACTGAGAGCAAGGACATATAGTGTGGTTGTCTTTTGTGAATTTAGTTTGCACATGGATGGTTCTGCAAGTGCTCATCCAACCAAGGATCCCTTTAGTAGGCCACGTGTCCTCATTTGATTTTCCTTTTCCTTAAGTTCTAAGGATTATTATTATTATTATTATTTATTTTATTTATTATTATTTTTTTTTAGTTATTTATTTTTTGGAATGTTATAATCCTGTTGGATCTAGGTGCCTCATAGTATGCATGTGACCCAAAATCTGGGTATTAGCTTTATTTAAACCGTGACTTTCCAAGGTAGGCCCATCCCACATGAACTCTCATGTGGGGTATCGAGACTCCTTGCCTCCTCTTTGCAATGCTATTAGCTCTTATTCTGTGTACATATTATTTGTTGCTGGGCCATTTTCTGAAGTTATTATGATGTATCACGATGGTAATAGTTTTCGTTTAGCAGACTCCATATTACCTCTGCAGGTAGTCTATATTTCTGTGCATTAACAGTGACAATAAGTAGGATTGTATTATATGTGTAAATTTTAAAAACATTTTCATTATATTCAGTTTTCTGTAACACCCTGCGCTACTGGTCATGGTGGGTCGGCATAAGTTCCATCTCAAGGAAATAATGTCCTTGCAAGAGCTGGCACTATTCCAGGCATGGTACATTTTACCTTCATTTACCAATGGAAGTAATGTTAGAACTCCATCCTAAATTCCTACTGATCTAATCTCCCTGTGAGAGCTTTGTGCACTCACAGTAAGATGTATTTGTCACTCACCAGTCAACATGATCCTGTCACCCGGCCTGAGCCAAATTTTTCCATGATAACACATTCCCATCTGTGTCACCTGGATCCAATAGTTAATGTGGATATTGTTGTTGTTGTTTTTGTTGTTGTTATTGTTATTATTGTTATTGCTATTGTTGTTATTATTATTATTATTATTATTATTATTATTATTATTATTGTTATTTACATTTTGATTATCCTAATGTTATTAATAGTAATAAGAACAAAAAATTTAAAGAATCATTCCAAAAATCAAGGAGAAGGTAAACAGTTAAGATAAGTAGGACTAGGAATTGATTCCTTGGTGATTAAACACTTGCTGAGCAATCTATGCATAAAGACATTCACAGTGGTAATGGCATGTATAACTGCCATCCTGGTATCACTGGATTAAAAGCAGCATGCCTTTGAAGCATTATGTTTGGGAGTTTTGGTTTCACCGCAGATGGGAATGGTCTAATGAATTTTAGTATTTATCTGCTTCATCATTGCTTTTGCATATTAAAGTAAAGCTAGATAAACTTAGCGAGGGATGTGGTCAAGCAATCATCATAGCTGACATGCTGTAGCACTTTGGCAAAAGTCAATAAACTTCCATCATGTAGCTATTTTCTGAAAGGATGGTACTTAGATTGGTTCTTCTTTTAATGGAAAATTGTCAAGGAGGTCTAAAATAGTGCATAATGACCATGATCATGGAGATTAATGAAAGGTCCTGGTTTTGATTTTTGAAATTATTGTTTTAGATTAGATAAATAGTATGGTGCGTTGAGTGTCTATGAGTTATAATGAATTTATACATTGATTCCCATTTTGTATATGTATTGGTCATTGTAGTTATACCATTTATTTAGGTGCCTGATAGTGATATCCATTTCTTGTGCAAATTCTGAATGCTTTATTGAAAGAGAAATTTATGCAGTCTGTGTCTATTTTTTAAAGATTCATGGATGATCAATAGGGAAATGAAGGAGCAAGATGTGTAATCTACCCTTTTGATAATGATTAAGATAATTAATGATTTTGATGCTGTGTTGGGTTGTGCCATTCAGAATTTTATCTTCATTATAGTTTCTCTGAATCGGTCATATTAAAAACTATTTTCCAAAGATTTCTACTCCAGTTTCGTGGAAGAAAAGTATTATTGTTATTTCTTCCTTAATTTTCTATCGTGTCACTCTGTTAGGTTCATTAGAAGGAATATTGGTCCTTGTTTACTAATTAATCTTGATAGAACTTTTAGGAAGAGGATGGTAGAAATTTTAAGACCAGAAAAAATACTTTATTGGAATATTGAAAGTTGTAACTGCTTCATGTGAGCACATGTTTATATTAGTTTACTATATCCAGGCAAGGCAGTGAGAAAGGTTGGTTTCCCTAACCCAATGCCGACGGGCATGACATGTACGTACATGTCATGCCCACTGTGAGTTACTTGTTTGATTGTTTTAAAAACATAGATGGCTACTCTTGTACTAAGTCACCAATGAGCTAGTTACAAGTTCTGCCTGTCTTGCCCGTTAACCCGTTAATTTATTGAAATATTTTACGTTATCTTATTTTGTTGTTACTAATGTTTATAACATTATAGTAATTATAATGTTTATAATAAAAACAACATTGATATTTATAGCTCTAATAAAAAATAATTTTTTCCCTCCAACTCAAATCATATAAGGTCACAAGGTCTACTAATTGGCTCCTTTGTCGCTAAGCACTAGCGGAGCCATCTATGTGCAGAGACATTGCACAAAAAATATAGAAAATGAGCACAGCATTTTCCCCATTTTTTTATTCAATTTCCCCGGTGGCATTGGGTTAATTATGATGTGTAGATGTCAGGGTAGACAGGTGGTTATTATATAGAAATCTACAAAAAACTCTATGGTTAAACTGCATTAACAGACATCCTATGGAGGGGCCCTGGGGACAGTAATCCCCCCCCCTCTCAGCTATGCCACATGAGAAGAAAAAGTATAGAAAGAAGATAAGACACAAGGGGAAAAGCTTTAACACTGTTCAGGGATCACATGAGGTTGAATAACTGTATATCACATCGATTTCAAAACAAAGTGGTAATTCTGTTGCGTCATCATCGTACTGCACCTCGAAGAATCCTTGTAATTATTGCTTTTCTGGGTCTTGGAGGATGTGATTCACTTTCGGTTTTTGCCCTGTCATCCCATGCTAATTCAGCAGAATTTTTGAGCAAATATTTTTTGTGTGTGACTTTCAAGAACTTTTTCACATTTTTTGTTGTTGTTGTTGCGTATTTTATTGTTGGTTGGAAATTAGCTGTTATAAGGCTTGTTCACTTTCTGGTTTATTAAATGGCTTTATATAAAAGATTAGGTTACTATTTTTGGAAATGCATTTAGCTGACAAAAAGGAACACAAATGGTGATTTAGATATGGTACAAACTTTTAAAAAGTCTTTGTTGTTAATGTTCATGGTAGGAGGTTTGAGTTGGCCCTCCTTCCTTAGTATTATTTTTTAACATGAAAGGAGTTAAGAAGTCTTTTGTCCTCCATATTATTGAGGCTCTTTTTGGATATTATAAGATTTTGGATTTCATACCTATTTGCTCAAGTTCATAAAAGATATAACTTTTTTTCTCTTTTTTTTTCTCTCTTTCTGAAGAAGATCCAACTGGACTGTGATTATGGTCTGGTGTTTTTTTTTTTTTTTTTTTTTTTTTTTTTTTTATTTCAAAGGATTCATTATAGATTATTTCCTTTTTTTTCTTAAAATATTAGATGTACTTCTTTAGACCATTTTTGTAATTTGGTTATAGCACAGCTCCATGAATGTGTAAATTACACATCTAATTTGACATAACATTCTTATTTTCTACCTTTAAAGAAAGTGGAATAACATTTTTGGAAGATTATATTTATTAAGATATATTTCCTTGGAACAGTAGAAAAGAGAGAAAAAAAAATCTTGAATATATAATACATTTTTGATAATGCATGTAGACCAATAAATAGGCAAATATAATACGAGGATTTGCAGATAACTTTACCGAGAATAACTTTGAAGGAGAATGCAAGAAGCCGTTCTTACTTTGATACTGTTGAGGTATTGATTAGATGCAATTCATGGTTATTTTTATGAATTATATACATTATTGAGAATTCTGATGTCTATGCTTCCCAGAATTATTAAAAGAAAACGTGTAAGAGGTGGAAAATATTATCTTTCATGATATGTAGAATAGAGATACTGGATTATTTTTTCCACATTTCATATATTTGAAAGTGCTGTCAGTTCCTTGAATACATGTGATATTTCTCTGCTGATAATTATTTTAGACTCTTAAACTCAGAGTAAAGCCGAGATTTAATATGTGGATAAGTTCAAGAATTCAGGTATTATAAACCCTCATAGTGTCAAGAACTTATAACTCACTTTTTACCGATTCTAAGAGCTTGCCTTTGAAAATGCCTTTTATGTTCTGTGATCATGGTTGAGCCTTATTTGCATGAAATTTAATACCTCTAGTAATTTTGTGTGTAAATACCTCAATAGCTTTGATTTGTATCATTAAAGTGCTGAGGCTTGTAATAAAAAGTTGATGTACGATACCCTCTTTTCATGTGTTAAAGCTTGGTATTAGAAGCCTTATCTTTGATCCATTATTGATGTGATGGATCTTTTATGTTTTCTTATTTTAGCTTTACTAATTATCCTGTCAGATGGTAGTGTTGCTTTGTGCGTGTTTGTTCGGATTAAGTTTGCCCTCTGTGATTTATTGCATGTTAGGGAGAAAGATGTGCTTGAATAATATTGCTTGTATTCAGCATGACAACTTTGATTATATTTGATGGTTTGTCTTTCCTTTCATTATACATCACGCAGACATATTTGTACCCTCCATCATTGTTATGCATGGATTCATTATAGATATTTTAAATACTAAACTGGATGCGCTTTAACAGTAGAGTCCTTGCAGTCACATTCAAGAAGCAATGCATTTATAAGGTTGTTATGTTGCTCTGGGGAGAAAGAACTAAAAGTAGACATTATTTACACTGCATCCTGTCTTTTATGTGGAATTATTTGCATGTTCCCATTCCTCTGCTGCATTCTGAGGAGTCTGTACTGGTGTGTTTAGAAATTCTTCACACCAGAATATAAGTGTAAAATGAAAACCAAATTGTTATATATACATGAGGAAAATATATAGAGAGAGATGAGAATGAATAATGTGCAGAGTTAGATGTGTTGTAATTTTAGTTGATCATGCATTATCAAAAGGATGATGATTAGTTATCATTTCATCATCATCATTTTCCATCATACTTTATTCAGCAGTCTGGCATATGTTTACCTCAATGATAGTTCTATACATTTGCATAGGAACCTTTGTTTCATAAGGAACATCATATATGTGAGCTGGTCTACCTCATGTACATGGAGCTAGGCCAGAGGTATTGATAAGGATCTCAACACCTTCACTGTAATCATTTTTTTAGAGTTTGTTTTTTACTTAAATTGCTTGCTTATTGAGAGAGTCATTGTTTTATCTGAGGATATTGAAATAAACCAGAACTATTTGTGGAACTGAAGTGACTACTTGATAAGAAAATTTTATATTTCATAGCATTGTTGAAGTAGATAAGAGTACAACATATCAGTATTTCTCTTCATTCTTAAGTTCTGTAATCCAGTCAGGAACATAATATAGATTAAGTATTTCAGCTTTTATCAAAGAACATGTGTTTTGAATTAATATTTGTTTTTCAAATGTTATTACTTTTTTGAGTGATGCCTAAGCCTACTGATAACCAAATTTTCTCCCAGAACATGAAGGACAACTGACTCCACCGCCTGGAAGGGTCTCGGAAGCCACCCGTCCGTCCCAGCCACCTGTCTTAGTGCCAACGCCTTGGGTCGCCTCCCTCCATTCGAGGAGCCCACCCCCAATGCCTATCTACTCATCTACAATGGCCGGCGACGTGTGGGGCCAGTGGTTTGCTTGCTGCATTACGCAACAGCCGCAGGTGAGTGGTGCACCGGCTGCCAGGCATGTTTGTCAAAATTATAATTTGACGATTGTTGAAGTGAAAAGTAGTTTGGGGTGATTTCCTCAAATTATCATTAGATGATTTCATTTTATATATGTTTTCTTAAGGTTGTAGATCTGGTTTATTTACCCAATGGAATCTTAATTCATAATTAAGTTGCCAAGGTAGTTGGTGTGTTGTTGATGTCGAATGTCTTTGTTACATGAAGTAGATCCCTTCATTATTAATTTTGTTGCTTTCCTATTCTGAAATTCTTGATAGTCACTGAATGCTTTGTTGACCAATTAATATATGGTCTTGTAAGAATATGGGTCACCATAAGTGGCAGGGACAAAATTTTGGGTCACTCATCAAAAAGGTTACAAGCCTCTGTTCTTGATATTAGATGGAAATAAGTGAAGAGAAAGAAGAAAAATTATAGGTCATTTGTAAAATGTATGAATAAATGTACATATATGCCTTCAGCCCATAATAAGTTTTATCCAGTATTTATCTACCTATTTCTTTTCTTTTTCTTTTCTTTTGATGAAATGTGTTTTCTCTGCAACAATAATTAGGTTTGAGCTGCTCAATCTATTAATTATTTTAGTACTTAAGAAATTATGCCTTTCTCATATAGTTGAATTTAACTCAAAAGAATGATAGTAGTAGTGTTTGGTATCATTGATCTTTTTCATAGTCTGATTTATTAATCATTTTTTTTATAATAAATTAAACTTTCCTTCATTCTGAGATGCTTTTGACAGTTGATGTATCTATAATGTATTAAGGTCATGTCTGATTTCATATTTCAGTATTTGAAGTACTTGAAAGTTTTGTAATACATATTGTGTTATTTAATCATTTATGGATCAAAAAGCATTATTAATAGGCTGTTAACCCAATGACGCCGGGTGTACAAAAGGAAAATAAAACTCTACGCTCTGGCAAACAAAGGCGGCGCGCCGACTTTGAGTGCCGGAGTACGGGGCGTCAGCCCGAATCACTAGCTCGCCGCGCTTTGGCGCGCCGCCGGCTGGTTTGGCCGCACGCCACCTTTCGAGCAATTTGTTTACACGCGTATCGCCGTCACCCGGCGGCAAGGGGTTAATACTTGAAGTATTATTTAAAGTTTTAGGATTCTGAAAGTGATTGATAATCCAGAGGTTGATAATACATGGGTATTAAGGCTCAAAGTACAGAAAGCATTACTTATAGACTATAACACACATTGTTTATTCCAGCGTCGACGTCGACGCATTGATCGCACCATGATTGGGGAGCCAATGAACTTTGTGCACACTGGCCACATTGGCTCGGGTGATGTGCAAATGGGGAACAACCAGCTGGTGCAACTGCAGACGCAAATGAAGAGCAAAGGGGGCTACGAACAAGCCCTGCCGCACAATCACATGTTGACGGTTGTGCCAGTGCAGAGATCATAGGTGTGTGTTTGTGTCTGATTTGGTTGGGTTGTGAGGTTTGGGAGTGGTGGTTAATGTAGAAATTATTTTACTTTTTTTGCAGGATGATTTTTACTAAATCTCTTTTTCAGGAGGTTGGTGATCAGTCTGGTTGATAATTGTCTTTGAAATGTTGTTTTGCATTTATTGCCCCAGATCTTGAAGTGAAAGTAGTATTTTGATTATATGATACATTTGGATGATATGAAAATGCTGCCTAAATACGTGGTCCGTGCAACTGTAATGAATTGTTCTGATTTTTATGACATAATCTAAGGTAATTATGAAGGTAGTTTTCTACTATTGCAAGTGTCACTAATAAAGAAACAGCAGAGAAAGCTTTTTTTTTTTTTTTTTATCATCATCATCATCATCATCATCATCATCATCATCATCATCATCATCATCATCATCATCATCATCATCTCAGTGTGGGAATGAGTGATCAGTTTTTTGATGGGTTGGTTATTTAGATTCAACATTTTTTTCCCATTTTGTAGCTTCAGCATCTTATATTTAGCAGTGCAGCTTGTCTTTTGTATATACATAAATGTTGAATACCTAACATCTTCCTACTATATTATCTGCTGGCAAATGAATAACCCAAAATTAGCATAGGAAAACAGACAAGTTCACCAAAAAAGAAAACAGTTAGGAAAACCATCTTGCACATAAGTACACAGGTGAAACCATGACAGGTGGGAAAGTTCCAAGTAAACAGCAGCTTTATTTGCCTATGTCATGCATTTCTATTACATCCTGGTCTGGCATGCCATGTCAGGATCATGAGGATGCTGAATCATCATTGATGATGCAGCTCAGGGCACGTGTTGATATTGAGTCATGGGGATGACGATGACACGGATCTGACTGGGATTATATTAATTTTATTATTATTATTATTTTTGTTGTTGTTGTTGTCATTATCATCATTATCATCATCATTATTAATATTATTGTTGTGGTTATTTTATTAAAAATGATGATGATTATTATTATTATTATTATTAGTAGTAGTAGTAGTAGTAATAGTAATAGTAATAGTAGTGATAGTAGGGTAGTATTAATATTGCTATCTTTATTGTTTTTATTATTATTATTATTATCATTATTATTAATCTTATTATTTTTTTTTTAATCTTATTATTATTGTTAGTAATATAATTATTATTATTTTTTTGTTATTATTACTGTTACTATTATTATTATTATTATTATTATTATTATTGTTATTATTGTTATTATTATTATTATTATTATTATTATTATTATTATTATTATTATTGTTATTATTATTATTATTATTTTGTTGTTGTTATCATTACTGATATTATTGTTTTAATTTTTTTTATTGTTATTTGCATTTTATTATTGTTGTTGTTGTTATTATTATTATTAGTAGTAGTAGTAGTAGTAGTACTACTACTACTACTACTACTTCTTCTTCTTCTTCTTCTTCTTCTTCTTCTTCTTCTTCTTCTTCTTCTTCTTCTTCTTCTCTTCTTCTTCTTCTTCTACTACTACTACTACTACTACTACTACTACTACTTCTACTACTACTACTACTACTACTACTACTACTACTACTACTACTACTACCACCACCACTACCATTATTATTATTATTATTATTATTATTATTATTATTATTTTATTTTTTTATTTTTTGTTGTTGTTGCTGTTGTTGTTGTTGTTATTATTATTATTATTATTATTATTATTATTATTATTATTAGTAGTAGTAGTAGTAGTAGTAGTAGTAGTACTACTACTACTACTACTACTACTACTACTACTACTACTACTACCATTATTATTATTATTATTATTATTATTATTATTATTATTATTATTATTATTATTATTATTATTATTATTATTATTATTATTTTACTATTATTATTATTACTATTATTATTATTTATTATTATTTATTGTTATTATTATTATTATTATTATTATTATTGTTATTGTTGTTTTGTTGTTGTTATTTATTATTTTATTATTATTATGATGAGAATTTCAATTCTATATTTACTGCATGCATTCAATTGCCAGAAGAGGTATCATGAGATGGTTGTATAATTGGCTCAGGGAGATGAAATGGTTCAGGATGAGGTAGTTTTTATGAAGTTAGGGGAACTTAAGGGGAAGGAATGAAATATGAAAAGTCCAAATACACTCAGTTGGGCATCCTTGGACATTTGGAGTTAAGCTAGTTGATAAGCTGAAGATATTCATGTTAGCAAATAGATTTTAATTGATTTAGGTGATTATCTCTTGATGCAATTTTCACTTACGCTAGATTGATGTCTTAAGTACATTCTATGCCCAAATCCCTGCTGCTAGGATGACATCAGACAATAGCCCAGGCATGGAGTAGCCTCGAATAAACTGCATTTTAAATTTTATCTGTTAATACAATAGGGAGTCAATAATCAGTTTCACAAAAAAAAAAAAAAAAAAAAAAAAAAAAAAAAAAAAATTACCCTCTTTCAAGAATTTAGGCAGAAATAGGCAAAAATATAGATATACAATAGTTGTTTGCAAATATTCTGTTGTGTTGTGAGACAATTTTTTTTTTTGCTTGTGATGAAATGTAAACTTTGAGAATAGCATATGACAAATAGGAGATGGGGGCTAAGGCCAAATGTCAGGGATCACCCCTCAGCTCTTGACTCGACCAAGTTTTCATTGTCTTTTCTTCTTCTCTTCTCCAATCCCTTCTGTGCACTTCCTAAAGTGCTGAAAGGATGAAAGACTAGCGTAGTGTCAGTCTAAACCCAATGGTGACGGGTGAAGAAAACAAAAAAAAACTCTACGCTCTGGCGAACCATGGCAGCACAATGACTTTGAGCGTGTGAGTTTGGTACATCAGGCCGAGCGTGTGAGTTTGGTACATCAGGCCGAATCACTGGCCCGCCGCGCTTTGGCGCGCCGCCAAAGCATACAGCCGCATGCCAGTTTTCGAGCGGTTTGTTTTCACGCCTAGCGGCTTCACCTGTCGTGAAGGGGTTAAACAGCCTCAGGGAGCCATGGCCATGGTATTCCTTTGTGTACCCCTAAACTGTTTCTCTTCCTCACACTTACGATGCACATTAATGCTTGCCCCTTCATCAACTAGCCTGTGTGATTTTAACTTTTCTGGTTTCCCAACCCCTACCTCTCCTTTGATTACTGCTCCCACTACTACTACTACTACCTCCTCTCCAGTGCTTGCTTTGAACTTGGCCCATTCCAAATCATCTACCCTAGTCATTATTCAACCTTCAGAATACATCCCTTGTCTCCCAACAACCTCTACTCTGTCTCCTCTTGCACAGTTACTTTCATTTTCTATTCCCTCCTCCCATATTACTACTCTTCATCTACCACAGTACTACCTCACTCTATACCAAAACTGGAAATTCATAAATTGCAGTGGAGTGGCCTTCCCATAGAGTTGTTCAAACTGAAGAATATTCATTAGGTAATTCAAGGAAAAAATACGACTTGTGGATCGTCCCGTGCAACATCCAAAGAAAAGTCAGTGACATGCAAATAATGTCAATTAGTTAGCTAAAACTGTTATCTTTTTATGATCAAATGAGTGGAGCAAGGTAGGCTTTGCTCGGAATGGTCCCTTTAACCCCATACAGATGGGCCGTGTGCTAAGCCGTCATAACAAACTGCTTGATCTGTGGAGTGCGAGTGTACCCCACAGCAATGCACCAAAGCGCTACGAGCCGTGGGTTCTGCTTGATGTAGTGAACTCTCGCACTCAAAGTCGGCTTGTTGCCATTAATCTCTAGAGCATAGAGTTTTCTGTTTAATTTTCTTCACCCGTCAGTAAGGGGTTAAGGCTTGCTGTTTTGTTGACTAGCCTATCTGATATTAACTTATATGGTTTCCTAACCTTCAAATCTCCTTTGGTCTTGGCCTCGACTACTGCTACTGCAATCCCTCAATGCTTACTGTCAACTTGAACCAAAACTGTTTTCATCTCCCTCTTCTGATTGCCCTATGTACAACTAGGATTTGTCAGATTGTGGAAATTACCTGCATGTCGTCCTTGTTGACTATGATGCAATATCAGTATAGTAGTACACTATTCCCCCCAGAGGCTGTAGTAAGTCCTACACTAATATTGCCAAGATTATCTCCCATAGACATTAGCTCCCCCATAAAGTTTATATTAGGGGAGAGTCCTTCCCCCTCTGACCATATTGCCAGTGTCAAAATATTGGCCCTTTTTCCAAGCACTGTCGCTCTACATTCTGCTGCCGTCATTGTCCCCAACCTGGTCATAATTTACTCTCTCAAAGAAATGCAATTGAGATGGAACTACTGGTTGAAGTATAATATTCCTTCTCATATATAGGTCATTTCAAGGTATTTTGGTTGTGTCAATGTATTTTGGTAGTATAAAATGAGGTTGGTAACTGTGTAATCCCTAGTTTATTTACGTGATAATTGTGATCTGGGAATTTAGTGACTGATTTGTGAATCAAGATTATTACTATATGGCTTTTATTTTGAATATGAGGCCTAGGGGTATGATTTCACTTTTATTGTCAATTTATAAATTTACAAGGTTATATTGTTCAACTAAGAATCTTTTATATATTTAGTTCCCCATAACCACATTTCATCCAGATTGTTTGTCACCCACAGTTGCAAAAGAGTCATGATTTTTCAAGTTTCACTAAAACAGTTTTTTTATAGTACTCAGTTTTATGCAGCATCAACAGTATATTATATAGTTCATTGCTATATCTCCATTACAAGTGTCAGCAGAGTACAAAGATAAAAAAGGTTTTACAGAATTCTTGCATATGAATAGAAGTGGGGATAGATGTCCCTGAATATGTAAATAAACACATATAAAATTATTCTTTTATTATGTAAAATGATAAAAAGTGTACTTAGGTATATTTATAA